TAGCAGACCAGTGCCAGGAATCAGAAGGGGGCCGACCCAAACTTGAACCAAAGTCAATATTTGAATAACTGAACGCTTCGGGTACATTTTGAACACGTTTTGAACATCCCATATACCATGCAGACTGCGTTTGCCTTGGAGCTCAACCTGAAGGGATGGCAATGGCGGGGTTTCCAACAACCCCAAATAATTTGAAGTGACACAATGCGGTTTGTCTTCCGCCAGTAAGAGAATTTAGAACTTGAACAGAACATTGGTTGGGATCTTCCTGAAGTCGGACGGCCATCATAGGAAAAGTGTCTCCATGTATTTTGGCCAAAATTTGTATTCATTAAAGAGAAACTTTTTGCAATATTTTTTATGATTTGCGTGAATGTGATCAGCTTAAAGTGGACCTGTCATGGGAGGAACACGGAGGCTTCATTGCCGAGCTCTCCTTCTAAAGGCCCAATCACATACGTTGCCCGCGCCCGTGCGGAGACTTGCTCCCGGGAGTGACAGGTGCTGTGCGTAATTGCAAGCAGCTGCCCGTACCTCTCTATTGGAAGACGCAGCTGCACCCTGCCGCAAGCCGACCCCCGAGCATGCACATCTGCCCAGGTCCGGGTGCCCAAAGTTGGACCCAGACAGTGCACGTCCAAGTGCGGGTGTGCAAGTTCGAGTCGGCGTGTAGCCTCATGCAGTCACATAGGGGGTACGGGTGGCTGCACGCAATTACATGCAGCACCTGTCCCTCCCGGGAGCATAGGCGTGCACACCCGTGTGATTGAGCCCCATAGATACTCGCAGGAATTACTGGTACTGGCGGTTGGAGATTTCTCCATATCTGGGGAATGCATTGGAGTCAATGGGGAGGCAAAATGTCTATGAATGAACTCAGGGCAGATATAAAATACACTGAACAATGCAGCTTCGTATTCACTGACGCATCGTTACATTTATTTCTTATACATAAGCAGTGTAAGCACCTGAATTTGACTCAGTATCAGCCTCCTGCAGTCCCTGTACAGCAGAGCTCATATTGGGAGAGGAAGAAGCAGGGGTGCACTCTGTGAGTGTTTCTGTCGGGTGTAGGCAAATCCCAGCATGCATTTGCCTCTTGGAGCCATGCCCCTAGCCGTCAGAGTCTTGCAATGCCTCGTGGGATTTGTAGTTGCACAACAGCCGGAGTTTGCCCACCCCTGGTCTATGTTTTAGGTTCGAAACCCATTATGGCCACTAGGCGGAGCCGAAGAGCATGGGAATTCTCTACGTTCCTGGGCTCCATCGAATGTGCGGTGATTCCAAAATGGTGACATTTGCTGAGCTGTTCGCCCTGCGAGCGTTTTATAAATATTAGGGATGTCCCGATACCACTTTTTTAAGACCAAGTACAAGTACTGTCCTTTGCGTACTCGCCGATACCAAGTACCGATACTTTTTCTTAAAGGGACATGTGACAGTTTTTTCTAGAACGACACAAACTGATGATTTTAGGGCAGTTGCTCACCGGGGCTAAATACAGATGTCACCAGAACTGAATGCATGTCCCCACAGCCAAATACATGTCCCCAAAGCAGAACACAAGTCCCCATAGCCAAACCCATGTCCCCACAGCCAAACCCATGTCCCCACAGCAAAATACATGTCCCCAAAGAAGAATACATGTCCCCACAGCTAAATACACGTCCCCAAAGAAGAATACATGTCCCCACAGCTAAATACATGTCCCCAAAGAAGAATACATGTCCCCACAGCTAAATACATGTCCCCAAAGAAGAATACATGTCCCCACAGCAAAATACATGTCCCCGCAGCAGAACACATGTCCCCACAGCCAAATACATGTCCCCAAAGCAGAACACAAGTCCCCACAGCCAAATACATGTCCCCACAGCCAAATACATGTCCCCACAGCCAAATACATGTCCCCACAGCCAAATACATGTACCCACAGACGAACACATGTCCCCAAAGCAGAACACATTCCCTAAAGCAGAACACATTCCCTAAAGCAGAACACATGTCCCCACAGCCAAATACATGTCCCCAAAGCAGAATACATGTTCTCAAAGCAGAACACCTGTCCCTAAGACAGAATAGTATTCTGCTTTGGGGACATGTCTTCTGCTTTGGGGACATGTATCCTGCTTTGGGGACATGTATTCTGAGAACACATGTTCCCAAAGTAGAATTCATCTCACTAGGCTGCGTGTCGATCTCACCCGGGTGACATGTGGACACCTGCAGTGGCTCTGCAGGCACTCCACCTCCCAGGCGATGCTAGGACCCAGCCTCCTCC